CTTTTAAAGCGACACCGACGTGGAAAGGGCTCAGTTGGGTTGGGGCAAGCGAGGGTTGTTAGTTTTGTCAGGCTGGTACGCTTTCCAAGTCAAATCACTGAGAAAAACACGTGAAAACCAATGGTTCCACCGCGAAGACTCATCTGCTCACTGGCTTCATTGATCGTAGCGAAGCTTTCACTCATCGTGTTTCAATGGTCACGTCATAAGTAGTTTTTGCCCACGCCGGCGTTCCAAGTGGCGCTTCGACCCTCGCTTCCTCCAAGACCATCTCCTCATACGCAAGCTTCACGCGCAGCCCTGGCGTCTCAGCACCAGCCGCGCCGGCCGCACCGGCCGTGCTGCCCTCGCACGGCGCGTTCAGCAGCACCGTGGCCAAAGGTAAGAGGTGTTCCGTCTTCGTGCGGCTGGCGGTTTCTGAGAGCGAACGAAGGCACTTCACGTAGCTGATATCGTCCCCATCCTCACCCGCGCGGGTATACGCACGCACGGGTATACGCGCGAGGGACACACCTTTAGGGTTCCAGCCACTACACACAATTCGGGCGGTTGTAGTAGTGTGGTGAAATGTTCAGCGTATTGTCGGGGAGAAGGAGGGCAGTGTTTTCACACAGAGATGCTGACGCATGCTTAACACCAAAGTAGATTAGCATTCCAAAATGTCAGCCAGCCGCTTGTATAGACAGTGCGTACACCGCAACACCATGACTGGTGTGGGTCTCTCTTGCCTCTTGCTGCCCTGTTCCGAGAGGAAGCCAAGCCCTGTCCTGCTCATTCCGCATCACCCAGAAGGTGAAATTTCCTGGAACAAAGTGCCAATGGTGTACAAAAATTCCACAGGTCGTCTTTTTGATCTTTTGTTGAGTTTGTTGGAAGACAACAGCCAACGAGGAAATTTGTCATCACTCACAAACGTCCCAATTGAGTGACTACAAATCCTTCAACAGTGATGATCTCAGATGTTCGAATTCAAAGTAATATTGGCTTGCCTGCCTCATATTTTGTCCCTGAGAAGGGAGGGGACGAAAGCTAGCCCTGCAAGCAGACCGCAAACATATATTGTTCAACGTAATTGCTTTACAGCTGCTGGCGGGGACTTAGTTAGATCCCAGAAGATGGCACTCCTTTGCTGGCGCCCCTTTTTCTTCCCAAAAACCAAGACGAAACGATCAAAAGGGGCACCACCACGGGGATCACACAAGCCCTTCGAACAGACTGCGCACATAGTCTTTCAACGTGTTCTCTGTACAACTAATTGGGGAGACCTAGCTAGGTCCCAGAAAATAGCACTCCTTTGCTGGTGCCCTTTTTGTCTTCCCCAAAACCGTGACAAAACGATCAAACGGGGCACCACCAAACAAACAGGGCGCCCCCTACGCTGAATGTCCAAGGGAATTGGAAGTCAGGCTCTCTGTTTGTACAAAAGCGTGGGATGCAACGATGCAGGATGTGGGCAGTCCCCGACGCATCAGCCACATTCTCCAACTCATACATATATTAATACTATCCTATGACCAGTAGGAGTGGCTGAGGGTTAGTAAAAAGCTTTATGTACAGGCGCAATATATAGACTGCGTTGTAATGTGAAAACTTGCGTCTCTCTGCCTTCTGTTTGCTTGTGGCAAGTGCATAAACACAAACAAATCATGGTCCCAGTGCGAATGCTCGGACTCAGCCTTTACCTTGCTCAGGAAGAAGCATACACACACGGCTACTTTGCGACGCTAATGATGCGCTATCTATCTAACCTTTTGGCATCACTCACATCACCAAGTCTCTTAAAAACATCCGTGTTGACTACACGTCGCCTTTTATTCGCTAACTTCGTTCGCCCATCAAGCACTTCAGCCTAGCCTATCGGCTGGCTTTCGTCGTAATCAATAAATCTCCGCCCACCCCGGCCCTTCCTCGATCGAAGGAGTGGGGATTGGGCCCCACTTGGATGTACTTCACGCCCTTCATCTTCTCGGCAGCGCGCGGGTGGTACTGGAAAAGTTCCCGCATCACTCGCTCGTCCACAGGTCTCAGGCGTTGTGGTTGATAGTCAACAGCTGCCGCCTCTTTCAAGTAGGAGTCACGCATCAAGCAAATGTGATGGTGGAGGGCCTGCGAAGGCGCGCCGGAGTTGGACCAAACCACGGAGTAGTTTCTCAAAGTGAACCTTTTGGAGTGCCTGAGAATAACAAGTCATATAGGCCCAAGTACACGCCAAGCATCACCAAGCACAAATAGCTTGAATGGGTCAAAATAGCGAACACTTTGTGGAGGCGTGGCTGAGAAGGACAAGCAAAAGCTGCACCAGCCTGTAGGGGTCATGCTTGAACCGCACCCATGTTCTTCATGTTTGATGTTTTCCCTTGATGCCACGGGCATCATTCATCATGTCACACACACATACACGTCAAGACGACGTGTGACCAATGTCATGGGTCACACCAACGGCTCCTGCGACGAGTCGAACCTCTGCTCCCCCAACGTCACGGGGATCTGGTCGTCAAAGTCCCCACGGCTCACGCGGGTGGGCGCCGGAACGGTCAAGTCCAAGCAACAGCTGCCCTTCACCTCGCGGACCCGGCCGGTCGGTGAACCTTCGGGTGGGCGGCTGTGGGGGTCGATCGATCCCATTCGAAGCTGCGGCAGAGCGTGGCTTCGACGGACTGTCCGTCGTCCGGAGAGTCCGAGGGTGTGCCGTTGAGGCATCAGATGAAGCGGAATCGACCGATCAATCTGAATCGTGGAGGTCCATGATTTAGTTGTCCATGATGTAAGCTCTTGATTCATAAACCCACTCCAATTGGATTGAAAAAACCTTTTCCTATGGGGGGTAAAATATCCTCAAGAGCCTACATCTACGCATGACCTTGAACCAAACGATCGACGCCCGGTTGGTCAGGGCGTGCCAGACTTGGAGGCCGCATGGGCGCCTGGCAGAAGCCCTTGAACTGGCGAACGGTTGGAGCTGCCAGGATGGCGTTGGGATTGAAGCCACTGTGTTTGCCTATGAAAGCGACCCGGGGCGAACGTCCCGTCCACCCGTTACTTGGCTCTCCCCAAAAACGAAAGAACTGCGAACCGCCCCCCGAACGCCCCGTCGGTCGGTTTTGGGGGCGCGTGGACCCTGACCTCCGCGACCTCAAAGTAGAGCTCTCCTGCAAGGCATCGCCCCGATGCGGACGCCGGAACGAAGAAAGAGAGAGAGAGAGAGAGAGAGAGAGTCGGACAGTGCCTCGGGCGCCCAACGTGGAGACCTCCTTGAACTGGGAAGAAGAAACAGATCAAAATGATCAAAAGAATGGAAGAACTAGGGGTTGCTCATGTGGATGCGTCTTTTCGGAGACGCTGTTTTGGCCCAAATATGGGTTCCAGTTTTCCGAAACCTTCCAGGGCATCATGTCGTCTCTATTTTGGGAGAGAAAATCCGTCTCTTTTTCGAAGAACACGTCCATCTCTTGGACACACACTTAGGATAGGGTGTACTGAATTGAAAGCGGTGCCACACGCCGGCCTAGGGTTCCATTTCCTAAGGGTACAGGTA